GCTGGAACTGTGCATTTTGAGCTTGCAGGTCTTTGACTGTTTGCTCGAGATCCATCCTACTGAAATAAACAGCAGACAGATAAGGAAACCTGGAGTGAGACCTGCTTATGCACATGATGAATGGTATGCTTATGTATGCAATGCATTCAAGGATTCAGAACATTCAAAATTGTTTCAGACAAAGAAGAACGCACATCATATTAATAAGAAGAAATTTGTTAGTACATAAATGCCCCATGGGCCCAAATATTACAAAATAACTTCTTAAGGCAAAAAGACATTGCGCATCCTCTTTGGTGCGATGTAGGTGTTGAGGGCCTCTTGCTCATGGAGTCGGCGGGTAAGCTCTAGAACCTTCTTCTCACTAGCATAAAAGCTGGCTTCGAAAGTATTCCGTTCCTCCTTGAGCTGAATCCAACTTTTCTACATTTCCTCCCACGATGTAGGCATGTCTGGATGTAGGATGGTGTAGGGAACCTCTCCTTCATTGACGGGTTCTTTAATCACTGGGAGTACATGAGGATAAGGCATCATTAGACTTTGGGCTCGGGCTCGTACCCACTTGAGATAGGGCTCAAGAGGGATGGAGTTCTTGTGTCCCAGGGTCTTGCTATCGACCTTGTTGAGTTTTCCCCAAGCTCTGATGAATCTTTGGCGAAGTCCTTGCGCATCGTTGTCGAAGTCAAAAACTAGGTCAGGAATCAACATGTCATGAGGGCCATCCCTCCGTGCATATCCAAATTGCCTCAAAGCTAGGCAAGGGTTGTAGGTGATGCCTCCTCTGATTCCAAGTAAAGGAACATTAGGAAACTCTCCACAATGATCGACGATGATGAAATTTTCTCTAGACCGAGAACACCAATGTACATCAGAGTGAGTAAGAGTCATCAACCGTTGGGACCACCTTGAACCTTGGTCATTCTTCAAGACAGATTGTGGAAGGTGCGAAATAAACCACCTTGCAAGGAGAGGAGTACAGCACATGAGAACACCCCTCTTTCTCATTGTTCGTGTGTAAAATGAGTGAAGGATGTCCCCAAGCAATGTTGGTATTGGATTTCTGGACAAGAAGATTTTCACGGCGTTGACATCTACCAATTGGTCAGGATTTGGGAACAAGACCAACCCATAGATAAGGAGTGCCACAATCTCTTCGAAGGCTTGTAGGTCCAATGAATTCCAACATTCTTGTGCCTTCTCAAACAAGAATTTGGCTAAGAATCCCTTGACGGCGCTTCTGGTTTCCCAATGCCCCTTGATGTCGGATGGTTATAGATGTAATGCTCGAGCAACATCTTCCGGCTTTGGTTCCTTTTCTGTACCGTTGAAGGGTAGTTGATTAAGGATAGGAATTCTCAGGAGTTGAGAAAACTCCTCCAAAGTGGGTACCAACTGACAAGCAGGGAAAGTGAAACAGTGGTGAAGAGGGTCAAAGAACTGGAATAGCACTTTCATCATGTCTTCTTCAATGTTGGTTTTGACTAGGCTGAGCAGTCTACCATGTCTTTCACTGAAGGATGAATTTTCCGGAATTCTTGAGGTGAGCTCCTTGAGTTGAGGAGAGATTCTCACAAGGTTGACTTGAATGGTGTTTCTGCGAGGAATTTCCATGACCTACAAAACAAGAACAAAAATGAAGATCCAAAACCCTTGAAATGGTTAGTGAATGCATATGATGTTTTATGATGTTTATGATGTATGCACAAAACATATGTACAAGCAAATCACACCAAACCCTAGTTTCAGGCTTGCATGGGGTTTCATAGGTAAGTACCCTCTTGAGTGTAGTTGGCTTAAAAACCTGTCCTATAAATAGTAACCGGGTTCTAAGGAACTCAATATCACGGGATTGTTTTCATTGTTCATTGTTTTGGTTTAGCCACTTAACTAGCGACCAAAATATTCCAAGAAAACAACCCTCAATGAGTGTAGTATCGAGTATCTACCAACTTCGGACTGCACCAAAGCCGGTCATCTCACTACCCCTAATAAAAGGCCAAGATGGTCAAGTAAGGTTCTAGGTCATTAGTGCTTAGTGACATCACTCAGCGGCCCCGTACTCTCCTTGATTGAACTCAAGGGTTACCGATACTCACAAATATGTCGCACTAATATAGCTATTGCTTCGACCGTGTCGGTATACCCCGCACAGTTTCCACAACGTATTGCTATCTATGAATGTTTCCCAAAATCCGGGTGTAGGATTGTAAACCCAAACAATAGAGCCAAGATATAAAGCAAACAATTCAAACAATTTGTCATGCAAGAGGGTGATCTAAGCCCTAAGGTTACTCCATTTTTAAATTTGTCCCCAGCAGAGTCGCCAGTTCTGTGATACGGTGGGAGAACTGACTATGGGTTTTGCGTTTGTTTTCGCAAATGTTTCGGTTGAGCAAGAGTCGCCACCGACTTTTTATTTTATCCTAAGGAAAGGTTTAAAAAGCACAGCAAAAACCTTTGAGATTTTTCTTGGGTTCGGGGAGTAGATTATAGAAAGGGAAGGTAGTAGCACCCTTTCTATCCATGGTTATCCATGGGCTCTTAGGTACTTGCTTAGATCAACTTGCCTTGGTTTTCAATTGTTTGAAATGGTGCTTGGTGTGTGGTTTTGAAAATGTTTTGAAAAGATGCCTTGTATAGGCTACCCTTGTAACAATTCTTTACTTGAATGTTTTACAAAAGGTGTTTTGTCTTTTGAAAAGATGTTTCAAGGTTTTTTTGAAAGTTTGTTTTGAAAGTATTTGTGAAGTGTGGATTGAAATTAGGCAAGTGTTTTCTTTGCAAATTGACAAGTACCTAAAAGTTATCTACCCTAAAGTTTTCTCAAAGATTCTTGTTATGTTTTAAACCTTTTGACAATTTTGTTCCACCATTGCATTTGGTGGACAATCTTGTGTTAGGAGGTGAAAGGGACGGCGTGGGTCATCGTTTAGACCATAATTGCAATAGTGCTAAGTCTCTTTGGGCAATTTCTCTTTGAAAGGGACTTGATCATTTTAGGCAACTTTTCGAAAGCGTCATCGAGGGACTATGATCATTTGATTGTTTGTTTTACCCAAAGAAACCTAACATGCAATATGGCCCAATTATTTGAAGGCAACAAAGTGGAATACCCTAGGGGTGCAAGTGTGATATGTGTTGTCCATATTTCATGCTCATTTATCTTGAAATTAGGTCAAGCTATTTTGTTCTTTTTATTTGCATACAAACCCTAATTCTAGCATGGTATATTTAGAAAGCGTTTAAAGTGCGAAAAGTAAAATTCCTACACTATTACAACACAATATGGGAAGGGGGGTACAAATGTTTCAAATGGGGGATATTTAGACAAGAAATTAAACCTAGCTATTACATCATTTTCTTTGAATATTTACAATATAATTAAAGGCATAAATTAAATAGAAATAAAACAAATATGCAAGAATGCAAAAAAAGTTTTTATATGTATGAAAAAAAAGTATTATTTATGTCACATAAATAAAAAATGAAAAAAATATTATTTTGGAGTATTTTCATATTTAAGGCATAAACCTAATTTACTAAATAAAATGCATTATTTATTCAAAATATACAATATTCACTATTTATATACAAAAATAAAATAAAAATATAGTATATTTGTAAAAATGTATTTTTTAATGTTAAATATTAATAAAATAAAAATATGTTATACGAGGTCCTACGAGGTCCTACGAGGTACCCACTACTCGGAGTACCCTCCCAAAAGGAAAAAGATGTGTCTGTCAGGTTCGGTTCGTCTTAGTTGGGTTGGGCGGGTTCGACCAGAAATGCTATGCTTACGCACAAGACTACCCCTCTTCCCGAAAGCTTCGCGGGGACTACTTTACGACGGACGACCGCCCGTAGGGGGTTTACTGCACAAGGCCCCTGCAGAGGAAAAGCTTTATCCCAACGAATAGAAGATGCTCAGCTCCGCACAACATAGGGATTAGCACGCTTTCGGGAAGAACATAGAATAGTAGAGGATCCAGCATGCGGAACACGGCGATCATTAGAAATTCACGAATTAGAGATGCTGTAATATACTCTTTCCCATAACTTCTCATACCAGACCAACCCACTAAAATACAAATAGGGATAAGAAATGTGGTCAATATCACGAAGAAAAAAGAGAGACCGTCTATACCCAAATTAAAATTGATGTTTTCATAAGGAAGCCATCGAAGGCTTTCCACAAATTGAGATTTGGCCGTAGAAGGATCGAATTGTATCCGAGGAACAGGGGAATACAAAAAAGTAATAAGAGAGGCACACAGACCAATCAATCGTATCGGTCGTATTCTTGAATTTGGAATGAAAAGAGGAATAATGCTTCCTAGCACGGGACACAGAATAGGACCACTTAGATCAGAATAGCATTCACAGAAATGTTCTAACATAGAGTAGAATCGAACATTGAAGAGATTAGTTGACAACAGTCAAAAGATGGGCGCCTAATTCCAATACAATAGGGGTCTATCAGTGCAAGTCAGCTGAACACCGTGATTGATGAGTGGGTAGGTGGGTTAGGTGCGCCTCTCGTCCAGTGGGAAGTCTTGAGGCGAGTCTCCTCCCCCCTTCCTTTTTTTACTTTTCCTCTCTCCTTTTGCTTGTGCTTCTACCCGGGCTTTTCATTTTTATAGATTTTGAGAGACCCGAGGATATTTTTATAAGATTCATTGCTCGATTTTGCATGCTCTGCTCCCAAAATGCAGAGATACTTTCGAGGGCAGATCCGGGTTGGTCCGGGGAGAGGCGGGCTAAGTGAAAGAAAAAAAAGAATATTAATATAAATGGAGCTATGTCGACTTACGTACGTCTCGTTGACCAAACGATCAGGTATACCACGCCACGTATCATCCCCTCTTTCTATAGAGGAGAGATAAAGAAAAATAAAAGAGATAGCGATCATGCCGTAAGACCTTGTTCGTTTCTACTTGACGTTATTTTCCTCAGTTTTTTTATTTGACATTAAGGCCTTTAGTTTTAGTAGGTTTGGGCTAGGTCGTTGCGCTCCTGCCACGTCTTGGCAAAGTAGGCTGATGGGCAAGCCTCCTCCTGCCGCAATGGTGTGGGGCGTCAGAGGCTGTTGCCCCGTCGCCAACTCGAAGGGGCCGAAGTTCGACGCAGAGCTTTTTGGTTATTAATTTATAGCAGCACTGAGCAACATCCAACAGCTCCAGTCCTTCTGGTTGGTTTGCTTGCACTAAAGTGCCTTAAGTAGCCCTCGAGGAGTCCGTTTATATCCGTCTGAGCTTTCAAAGATATACCGACCGTAGGTATCTTACTTACCATCAGATACCGACAGTCGTCTTCTAACATTACCGACCTTCAAATATAGGGTTTTAATCATCAGAAACAACCCGATTTCCGAGACCTCTTGCATTGCATTACCATAACGAAAAAAAGAGATAAATTGCTCTTGTGACTCGGAATGAACCTTTATCGGTGGAAGAAAGGAATAGCGATGGATTCCTATGAAGCATTCAGGAACAAGAAGATTCAATCGGACGACGAATTCATACGTGGTCCAAGGAAAGAAAAGGTCCGCTTCCACGATTTCATCTATATCGAATCTTAATATAAGAATAGCTTATATAGTCATGATTCAATTCAGGTCCACTGACTTTTGATTGATTTATCTTCGGATCTGATTGGAACATTTGAGAAGTAGGAAGACTTTGGCGGGCGATTCATAATTGGTATCTAGAATATATATGTCCTAGGACAGAAAATATGAATAATTAAGAGAAATTAAAGATAATATATATCTAATCTAAGAATTTTTAGGCTGTACACCTAATTTTTATTCCTGGGATTGTAGTTCAATCGGTCAGAGCACCGCCCTGTCAAGGCGGAAGCTGCGGGTTCGAGCCCCGTCAGTCCCGACCTAGGATCCGATGAATCGATCAATTAATCTCTGTAGGGGGGGCTTATGATCTAATTCCCAGCAGGAGGATCCTTCTTTCGTTTCGCATTTATCATCGGACAAATCAAGGAATAAAAATTACAATAACTAGTACCGATTGATGGAGGAGAGACATATGTAGGTTGGTACAATCGGGGGTATCACCATATTAAGCATATTAAGTAAGGATTCAAAGAGAGACCGTACAGGTCTGGCTTTTTTCGATTGTTCCTGGCCCATCGAATAGAGTAGCAATTTATTTCCCATAACATAACATTTAATTTTTTTTTTACGATACGCAATTAACTTAACATAGTTACCCCCACAGAGTACTTTTAAGATTCAACCTACCTTTTCTTTCTAGCTCCGATTTTATTTTATTCGCTACACCTATTCTTCTTCCAATAAATTTTTAATAATCGTCAACTGCTCTACTCTAATTCATAGGTTTTTTTTGTATTGATCCCGGGATCTATCGATACAATAGTATGGGCATAAAAAAAAAGCAACCAAGTCATCCCTTAGCACAAGCACTAAGTAAGCAAGCTACCTTTTTTTCTATAAGAAAAAATAACCCATAAAATATTGAATGACTGAGCACTCAAATCCTATCGCGAGTCTTGATACATAGTCTATTAAGTCCTTTCCACAACTCCTAATTTGATTCTCCATCGGCCCATCCAATCTAATTCACGACTCAGTCAGTAGACACTACACTAGTAGGGTAGTCAGTTATGTAATTAGTAATTTTTTAACCAAAAACCCCTTCTTTCTTGGATCCTAGGAGCTCGGATTTACAGTCCTTTAGAACAACCTTTTTATCCCGGCCCCTGACTTTCGTATTGATGAATATCACAATTTAATCTGACTACCCAAGTCGATCCTATTGGCATAGGGCAAACGACGGCGGGATCTCGGTGCCTTTATCTTGCTCTTGAAAGAATAGAAGTTGAGTTCGAGTTGTTATCATGCCGGATCAGAAAAGTAAAAAGCCATACTAAGAGCCTGCGGACCTGCTCACGGGAGTCAGGCCTGTTCTGTAGTGGGCAGACGTAGCAGGGCCATCTGAAAGAATATAGGATAAAGAGCCGCTGGAGAAAACCAATTACGCCGGGTTCTCAATTCCATGGAGTATGTAGTGAGTTTGAATTTACCCGGTTAGCTTTAAGGTTCCTTTCGCTACCGTCCTAAGGTTAAACCAACCGTTGGTTTGCTTTAACAAGATTTAACTGAAGTGAACCCGACGCGAAGTTGGTGAAACCTGAGCGTAGCTAATGAAAGGGAATACCTAAAATTAGAATAGAACCGACTATAAGCCCTGAGAGCCAGCAAGCAAACCCCCCAGACTCTCTCTCTAAAAAAAAAAGCCTGCGTAGTAAACTCCTTGTTTGTTTTCTTTCCGATAGCTGCCGTTTTTCAAGTTTTCAAGTCAAGCGAGAAAGCAAGTGGAATAATACTTTACTTTTTTCGGCCATTTCTCAGCAATAGCTACCTGAATGGAAGCAAGCTACGGGGATAAGAAGAAGAGTGGTCGAAGACTACGAGTCGAAGCTAAGACCAATCTAAGCCAATATCCCTCAGCTGGAAACTATCTAGATAGCTTTTTAGCGCTTAGCTACTTGATCCTTCTGCGCCGCTAGCGCTACTACTCCTAGTGATAGGAATAACCTACTCTTTTTCGCGAGAAGGCCCATCTCGTCTCGGACCGGTGACGTATTCTAATGATCTGGATCTCTGGCTTATCTCTTACTTGACGGATTCCATTTCGGCTAGTGGGATTTAAGTGACGATAATCGGGGAAAAGGGTTGATTGGCTCTGATCGATACCATCTAAAAGTGCTTGCTTCATCCATTCGTTACTGGTTATTATTACGCCTCTAGTGACTCTTGGAATCATGCGCATGGCTCCATGTCGGCCTTAATTTGGCGTCGGTGTAACGACCGGTGCAAGTAAAAAATACTACCTACGAGTCTCATTCTCTCGCATTCGTCCTTTCCTTACCTGTGTTCTATTCTATTGATCCAGTTTAGGCAGCTTTCAGTCTCTATAAACTTGATGGAATATTTATGACACAAGATACGAAGTCATCAATCAATGGCATGAAGGAGTTCAATCAGGAACATAAATACTTTATTTAGGGTCAGATAAAAATGGGTAAGCAAGCAAGCCTTGCAGTGTGACCGCAACTTGCTAGCCGACACCGGCTACCGCAAAGAGTTCAGTGTAAAAAAAAAGCTAAAGAAAAGACCCTTCCATTATTATACTTAATATTACCTTTCAACCCCTTACGCAATGAAGCAAAGTTATGAACTTTAGTCAGGGTCAACTCAAGATAACTCTTTCATCCGTCGAAGCAGAGACAGGAATTGCTACTTGAACTAGAAAGCATACTACTTAGATAATAGTAATTCATGTACACATCCCGTAGGCAAGGAAAGATATTATTAGAAAGCCAAGCCAGTGCAGAGAGATAAAGTATAGTTACATAAAGAAGAGGAACCTGTTGCCAGAGGAGGCTATGAAATAGTTGCCAGTGATTGCTTTGGCAAGCTAACTGAAGGATCGAGGATAAAACCTCTTGTCAATACAGACAATTTTCATTGAAAAGTAAGCGAGTGGAATAAATGGAACGAGTATAAGGGCTAGTTAGTAGGTGAGTTTTCTAAGTTTGAAAATTGTAGTAAGCAGTAGTTAAGCTCTCAAGCGAGTCAGTCGTTAGTTTAGTTGATAATCCTGTCCAGTAAGGGAAGTAAGTAGAGTCAATAGAGTTGAGTAAGTCCTTGTTTCTTTCCCTTTTACGTTGAGGGAGCTAGTAATGTAAGTGCTCGTCATGAAGATAGTCTAGGAGAATATGACCCCAATGATAGCACGAGCTGGGAAGCCCATGAAGTTGGTTTCAAGCCCGTTTAAACGCCTTTTAACGGCCGTTTGATGGATGTTTAAGGTAGGTCTCAGGAGTTAAGTTTAAGGAAGATAAGATGTGCCAGTTATAATTACCAGGATCTGCCAGCGGTATTTGATTGAAAGAGTGCGGTACCGGTACGAATTACTTTTTTGAATTAGATAGCCCCTCCTCTAATTCCACGAATAGATTCGATCCATTAGATTATTTTTTACTCTTTCTTCTTTAGATTGCACGAGTTTTATGAGCCTTAGTTTGCAGCTTTTGTTGAGCCTGCCTACCTTTCCTTCTTTCATTCTTTGTTGGCTCGCAGTGAGGGATATCGATTACTGGTCGTAAGGGGCGGGATATCTGGTTCAACAGCAGATCCTAATTACCCTTCTCTTCTGGTGACCAAGAAGCAGGAGCGGGTAGTGGATTCTGCAGATTTATAGTCAGTTTGTTCTCGTCCCCACATAAAGAGAAACAAAGCGAGCAGTACCCTTTGGTGTTCTCTACCATGAGTCAAGGGCTAGGAATCCACTGAATAGCTAGTAAGATAGATTGTGTCTAACAAGCTAAGAATCTCCAGGTCGTAAGCCTTTATACCCAGCTCTAGCTTTTTCTAATTATATATTTATTTACTTCATTATATCATAATAAGTTCAATTTCCTTCGAAAGATATGGCTTCTGGTTGTTGTGTCCGATAATATAAATAGTCTCCGCGAATATTAATGATTCTACAGTGGCATAGCTCCAGACATGGGCTTCTTCCCTTCAAACTATGGGTAGCCGGATGTTTAGCAATAAGATACCCTTACTTAAGTAAGTCCGCACTTGGGCATAGTATAGGTTTGCCACTTAATCCACTATCAATGTATCAATGGTGGTGGTCCTTCTGTGTAAAGTTAGCTAGTGTGGATTCGCCAAACAACCTCTTGACAAGAGCCTATTCATTTAATTCTTGCTATTTCCGCACCCCTGCCCGGTCCGGTTTTTTGAGAAATAAAGTCGAGACATTCAGAAAGAGAGTTATGGCATTTATAGGATTAGAATACGGTCCTATTGATTCAATCTTTATGCTTGGCACGGAACTCTTGTTTCGAGTGAAAGGGAGAGCTGTGGCCCGCACCGCATTCACAGGTAAATTTACCTCTACGGGGCGGGGTGTGGAAAGCACTATAAGTTAGTTGACTTCTCGACTTCTTACCAGTATTCCTTCTCTTACTAGCCTAGCTTGATTCTTTATAAAAGACTAACGGCAAAGATTTTATACCTCCTGTAAGCTCGTTACGCTTAACGCCCACTTACTTAAAGACTCGTTGGTTTACGACTCTATAAATTTTAATAATAATTTGAGTCGTTACCTACAGAAGCAGTTGCCCTTCTCCGGATTTACCCGGTGAGGGTGGCGCTTGTGAGTCAAAGTTGAGACTTTCCATGTATGTTTAGCATCCTGGGAGAGTAGTCCTAGGTACTGAAGTTACTCCCGGGTAGAGAAAGAAAGTGCTGGCAGAAAGGAACTCTCAAAGCATGGGGTTTCGCCGGGCGAAGCTCCTATCCCCAAAGGCTGTTGTCGGCATTTCTGTTCTTTGCATGTTAGCACTTTTACCTGACCCTTTGTCACTACTTTCTGATCATGTGGATGCCGCTCTTAGAGAATCCGCGAAAGGACACTGTGAGGGGGATGGGTCCTAGCTACTTCTTTCATACCAAGAAAGATAAGAAGGGATGCTTGCTATCATTCCAGTGCCACTGTCCAATCTGTGAGTCCATATTTTGGAATATAATTCCCAAGCAAAGGATTAGAAGGTAAGGTGCCAAGTTCAAGGCAAAGCTTAGTCGGATTTTTCCCCTACCCCTAGGTTAACTACCTTTAGCTTTCGATAAGACAGTTCAAGCAGAAGACTAACTTGAGGATGTCACGTGGAAGCTTTCCTAAATCCATTTGACCGGAGCCGGGATAAAAACTACTTATATATGTAAGGATATACCACCAAACCTGTGAGCCTTCCCAAATTCAACAGATTCCACTATAGCAAACTCTTCAGATCAGGAATCGCCTTTATTTTATATTTTCTTTCACGCCCTGAGCCTGAGCTAACTCATTTATCTTTCGGTCTAGTCCAGTTCGGCGTAGCTCCAAGCGAAAACATCAAAGAATTCTTTGAGTAGATCCATGTACTGTCAAATCTCTTTCATTTGAGAAGCTTGCACTTAGGAATACAGGGCGAGGATTGTCAACAGTCCCGAGATCCATTTACTTGACCTCGGCCGGATCGAGCAGTTCTAGCTTCTGCCTACTCTCTTGATTCTGTTTCTGCGTCAATGTCATTCCAGTCCAGTCGACTCTGATCATGAATGTCGTAGATTCAGTATCCAGATTCTGATTACGAAGATTATTACGAGGAGAAACATGTTCTTTTTACGAAGAAGAAGTGCGGGGTAGTTCACAGATTTGCTTCTCCATTTGATTGAATGACATAAGTGTCTGGTGGTACAAAGGTCATAATGGGTTTCCAGTAAGAAGGGTCTTTCCAGAATCAAAATTGTCGGTTAGGTTTTATCCGAAAGATTGGAATAAACTTTTACCCTATCCTTTGGGGGAGGTTAGCCCTACATCTTATTTAAGTGTTTGCCCAGTCGCGCTCTACTCTAAGCTTCTAGTTAGCTCAAAAAAACGGACTCCCCTAAGTGGGGCACATGGGTTTGTGAAGATGCGTTGGTTGATCCGGAGACATGGCCACTACTGGCCTACGGTCCTGTCAGATTGCATAGCACATGCTAAGAGCTGCGATGCCTGCCAGAGGTATAGACTCAGCGCAAGCCGGCTTCCGAGTTATACCCGATTATCAAGCCTTGGCCATTTCGAGGTTGGGCCCAGGAATAGTGAGTTGATATTCGCTGATATGCTTAGCGAGAATACTTCGCAGCCGCAATACCAAGATGGGCTCAGATTTTGTGAACCAGAACTCTGCTGTACAACTAGCTGCTGCGATCACAGCCTCAGCTAGGATATATATGTAACCTTATATCTCAAGAGAGGACTGCTACTACACGGACACAGACTCAGTTGTGCTTGGCCTAAATAAGTTATTTCTTCTTCTGTCTTAGGTAAGTTTAAGCTAGAGGACAGAGTCATGAAAGGAGACTTTTTAGCACTATTTCTACATCGCAAAAGATAGCACCAATGTACTCAAGTACAAGGGACCGGCGAAAAACCAGGTCAGTCCAGAATGGTTTGAGTCACAGTACGCAGATCCATCTCGTACAGAACAGGTAGCGGTGGAAGCCAACTTCCGGATTGATTGGCACACTCTTAACATCATCAAGAAAGAGATGTAAGGCTTGGGATTAAGCAGGGGACCAAGAGGATACCAGTATATCACGGAGATGTATGGGTGGATACTGATCCAATTGATATCAAAGACTTGTCTTCCCTAGATCACATTGGTAAAGTACTGAAAAAATAACTCTGGTAATACAACTACTGAAAAAAAATGCCCTTTTAGCAGAAAATTAACTTTCTTTCACGAGCTTTACTGCTTCCATTCTTTGTACCAGGGATAAAAAAGAAATTGCGTATAGCAAGAAAGGAAGAAGAATGATAGATGACTAAAGTAGGTACTGGGACCTTTTGGAACATGATTAGGGAAAAAAAGAATATCTAATAGACTGATACGTACGAGCGAACAATAGTTCTTATCTCTTCTCTGTACCGGTAAAGACTTTGACCTTAGAGTAAGGGGAGGGCCTAAGACTTTATTTATAGCCGGGAAGATAATTTCTTAATCGAAGCCATAGCTTAAACCTGGATAGAAGGACTTTATCTAGTCTGGAAAGGCTCTAGGAATTCTCTCTACTCTAGAAGCCATAGGCCGTTGAGCAATAGACTAAAGAGGCATCTCTAACAAAGGGAGAAGGCCAGAGGTATAGATCCGTTAAGGCCACTCCTTAAGCAGGACTTTCGGTCAGTTCAAAAACCATTAGGTAGGGCCTGTGCGTGCTATAATAAAAAAGGGAAGACCCTGAAATCTACTTGAATGGATCTTGGCAAGGCGGATCGAAAATCATTAATGCCATAATAAAAACGCCAAAGAAAAGCGGGAAAGTGGGGCTATATATCATATAGTAAAGCCAGAGTCAAGACTACATGCCTATTTGACTGCCCGATCGTACATTTCAATAGCTTTAAGAGAGTTTTCATATAGAAGTCTCGGACCCGCCGGGGAAGATACTGAAGAAAGTTCAGCTCTTTACGCTGCTTTTTAATTACAGGGGTATTATAATTCTTTCGGACATTAGCGAACATTGAACCGTTGAGCCTGAAAGAGTGAGAGCTTGATGAGATTTTTAGGGCCGATAGGCCAAGCCGATTAGACGGACGGAAATAAGCAACTAGTCGTGCCATCATACTATACCTTACGGTTGAATTGAATATAGAAGGGCTTCCCTTACTGTTGTACCCCAAAATTTGCCCTCCCATTTCCTCAACATTTTCTCATCACAAGACCTTTGGAGATCAAGATCCAATTAGGGTTTCCCCTACTCAAGACTTCTCCTTGCACTGTGGACTCAAATTAGGGTTTGTGTTTGCCTAAAGATGTTTTGACCTAAAATGCCTAAGATGACTTTCATGCTTCATGTTGGACTCCCAAGTTTACCTATACCAAGTTTCAAGTCTTGATTCCAAGTTTTACCCAGTCAATTGGACAGTTGACCTAGAAATCAGCTGTATTGGGGAAAAAGTCAACTGTGGCCAATTGACAGTCAAACCTCATGAAATTTGATCCACATCAACATTATGAACTCATATGAACCATTTGATCAAGTTTGGATCACAATTCCACAAGAAATTTGATCAGATCATCAAAAGGGCAAAATGGTCATTTTTAAGGTTTTGACTGCACAAGGGCAATTTTTGACTGTTTGACCTAGCCAATGGCAAACCAAGCTCACATATGGACTCAAGGACCCCATGGAATTATCTTGACATGTTCATCAAGCTCAAAAGATCCCAAGTACACAAGATTGACAGTTGAATTTCCCAGTCAATTGATCAATTTTGACTGTATACTGAAAAGTCAAACTTTGACTTTTTGGTCAAAATCAAGAGTCAAGGTTCATTTTTCATCAAAACATTACAAATCATGAAACTTGTTCACCAAGAAATCACAAAATGCAAATTAGGGTTTGAAAATGGAATTTTTCATAACTTAGAATTTTTCTAAGTTATGAAAAACCCTAATTTTTTCCCAACTTTGCCCCATCTTTTCACCATGATCCATTGGGATTCAAACAAAAGTCAAAACATGAAAGTTGTAGCTTGTTGCAAAATCTACAACTTTGATTCACAAAGTTTTCTCATTTGAAGCTTGTATCTCAAGTTATGATTTTTTGAATAAGGGCACTAAACCATCTTTTAACTTAATGAAATTTGACCTATTTTGACAAGGTTTTCTACCCTACTTCAAGGCCACTTTTCATACCCTTCCACTTGGAATTTCAAATTGCATTTCAAAGATGGATTGTAGTACACATTCCAAGCTTTCCAAAATGTCCAAGAACTCATCAAACAACCTCATAACTTGAGAGATTCGAATTTCACAAGTTGGCAAAAATTCACTTTTGTTCTTCATCAAAACATGTTCATAACTTTGCAAATTTGAACTCAGCTTGCTTTATGCTTGATTACAGGTCCTTGAACCAATCCATACTCAATAATTTAATGCATATTCAATGAGTTAAGACCATGTTCTTTGTGTTCTAACATTGCATATTGGATTAATCCTAAACTAGATAAAGTGCTTTATCCATTTTTGTAAAAAGCTAGCTTTATGTCAAATTGAAATCCAAGCAAGTACAAGCAAAATCCTCTTGACACAAGATTATGGACAAGTTGCTCTGATCAAGAGAGGATTATGCAGCAGGATTAGAGGCCCCTACTCACCTAAAAAACAAAAGTGACCTTTGCTTGCTTCATTTTCAAGTAACATTGCATAACTTATCACAACTCTCATCTCAGCTTAGAAACAGAAGAACAAAGTTATCAAACATATTCCATAGACCATATCCAAGCTTTGGCACGAGTCCTGAACCTCTCAAGCACCCTCCATCTCAAAATCACCTCAAAACTGCACAAACAGAGCAAGCTCTGCAGTTTGAGTGCCAACTCCCATTTCCTTCAAGCATTCTTGCCCAAACCTGTTCCTCTATCTTCCTCACAACCTATGCAAGCTGACCATGATCTGAAACCTGACCTGTAACACCTCCAAGCCACTTCACCATTTTTAATTTTCTGTTTTGCAGTTGGAGTTCATTAGCTCGATTCAGGAAGTTTCAAGGCAAAGTAGGAATTGGAAAAGCTTCCTTACACTTCAAGGAAGCTGTACAAGTCCTCATTTCATTCTGAAACATCCTCCATTGCCCAGCTCGATTCCAACTGAACAGGTATATTTATGGAGTTCTATCTCTCTTGTTAGGCATTGTTAGCTTTAGGTTTTTGAAGAAAATATGTCACAATCATAGCCCTGAACATGCTCATATGATTAGATTTCATTTATGTTTCGTGTGCTTAGAGAATTTCATGTCTGAACATTGATGAAAAGTTAGGTCAGAAAAGAGGGGGAGAGAAATTCTCTCTCATCTTAGAGAGTTAGATTAAGTTCTATACATGGTTGGAATCGTCTCTTCATGCTGAGCATTTTTCATGTTATGAGTTTTTGTTAAAAAGCCAGGAATCAGGAGTTAGCAGCTGGAGTACAGGGCGCGCGTTTTTTTGAATGTTGTTGAACGAAGGTTGAAGATGAAGCCACATGGGCTGGGCCTGTGTGGTTTCTTCTTTTTGCACCCTATTTCCATTTTCTCACCCCCCAAGCCCATTTGCCTTATTTTTATTTCTTTTTGACTTTTTCTTTTTTTATTTGACTTGTTTATTTTTTCTCAGCATATTAAAATTTTGAAAATATTTTTCTCATCATTCTTGATTTTATTTGGGTTTTATTTGATTTTCTTTCCATTTATACATAAATATATACATATTTTTATTTAGAATAAATATTAAAAAAATAGTGTAAATGCATTCATATACATTTTTATTTTTATTTACCTTCTGAAATATTTCACATAAAAAAATACTTTTTTTATTTATTTTATTAAAATATTAAATATATATTATTTTTGTATATAATGCATATTTAAGAACTTAATATATATATATATATATATATATGTTTATTAATATATTTAAGTTAAAATATAAAAATATTTGAATTTTTCATCTTATTAATATTTGATATAAAAAATACTTTTTTTTTTATAATATACTTCATTTATTTTTATTTTTGTAAATAATAAATAAATACTTGTATTAAATTAGATAATAATACATCTTCTTTAAAATTAGGGTTTTTGCCCTAAAAGTTGAAAATACTCAAAATAATACCTTTTTATTTTCTTATTTTTATTTTACATAAACCATACTTTTCTCATACATAAAAACTTTCTTTTTGCATTTTACATATTTATTTAATTTCCATTTAAATTATGCAATTTATTTACTATGCAAATATTCAAAATTGATGTAATAATTTTAGGTTTAAATTACTTGTCAATATCCCCATTTGAACATTTGTACCCCCCTTCCCATATTTGGTTGTGTAATAGCTTAGTAATTTTAATTTCGCACTTTATTGCTTTCTAAATAATAACATGCTAGAATTAGGGTTTGTATGCGAAAAAACGATAAAAATTAGTTTGACCTAATACAAGACAAACAAGCATGAAAATGGACACACAAATCACACTTGCACCCCCTAGGGTATTCCACTTGTTGCCTTCAAATAAATGGGCCATATTGTATGTTGAACATCTTTGGGCAAAGCAAACAGTTTGAATGATCATAGTCCCTCGATAAAACTTTTCAAAACAAACAAAACAAATGATCAAGTCCCTTAGAGAAATTGCCCAAAGACATTTAACGTCGTTACAACTATGGTCTAAACGATGACCCGCGCCTGTCCCTTTTCACATCCTAACACAAGGTTGCCCACCAAATACAATGGTGGTGCAAACTTGTTAAAAGGGTTAAAGTATAGCAATAATCTTTCGAGAAATTTAGGAGTAGATAACCTCTTAGTTACTTGAACCAACTTGCAAAAACAAAACACTTGCCTATTTTTCAAACCACACTTCACTACACTTTCAAAACAACTTTCAAAAAATGAAAACCTTTTCAAAAGACATACATCTTTGTATACATCCCCACATGGATCATTGCAAAGGTTGCCACCACATTGGCATCTTTTCAAAACATTTTCAAAACCCACACACTCAAGCACCATTTAAAACAATTGAAAACAAAAGGCAAGTGATCTAAGCAAGTAACTAAGAGCCCATGGATAACCATGGATAGAAAGGGTGCTAATACCTTCCCTTTCTATAATCTACTCCCCGAACCCAAGAAAACATCTCAAAAGGTTTTTTGCTGTGCTTTTTAACCTTTCCTTAGGATAAAATAAAAAGTCGGTGGCGACTCTTGCTAACCGCAACATTTGCGAATACAAACGCAAACCTCAAGTCAGTTCTCCCACCGTATCACAGAACTGGCGACTCTGCTGGGGACATGTACTTAAAAGTGGAGTAACCTTAGGGTTTTAGATCACCTGTGTTTTCAATTGTTTGCTTTGTTTGCTTTTATGTTTGTGGGCTTTGCATTGGAGTTTCATAGATCCTAACCCGGATCTGGGAAATACCCTTTTTAGGTAGCATAATCTGTGAGGGACCTGTCCGGCGTAGACCGACATGGGTGAAGCAGTGGCTACGTTGGTGTGGCATCTTAGTCTGTACCTATATCCCTTGTGTTGTAATGGGGAGAATATAGGTCTTCTAAGGGGTCATTAAACACCAACCAACCTTAGAACCCTAAATTGACCAACTTGGCTATTAGGACAGTAGCAGTATGCTACACTCATCGAGGCTAAACTCTCGAGATGGTTCTGGCCGCGAGAAAAGATTGCGATGCTGGAGTTATGACCGATTGAGGGTAGCCAATGATTTGAGATCCTCTAGAACCCGGTTACTTTTGATAGGACAGGTTTTAACCAACAAAACCAAAAGAGGGTAATACCTGAAACTCATGCTGGCCTGAAACCTAAGGGTGTCTTGTGTGACTTGTGTGCTTTATCTGCCTATGTGAATACTTGTGATGTGCTTCATCATAGCATCATACCATCATACCATTGCATGCAAAGCTAACCCATTTCAAAGACAAAAAGGTTTCATCTTTGCTCTGTTTTGTAGGACATCATGATGCCCGTGCGTAGAAATACTGTCCGGCTCAACTTTGTTCAACCACCAGTTTTACTCAAAGATCTGGTTGAAAGAATTCCAAACACTACCTCCTTCATCAACAGA